GAAGTTTTAGCAATGCAGATATAGGACATGCAATATCATTTGGAGAAAAAATACTCCAACTTCAGCCACGACGAAACCATGTGTATGTAGTGTTGACAGATTGTATCATCATCAATATATATAGGGTGAGCAGAAATGAAAACTACTCGGAAGAAGCCACCCAGTTCACATATAACTACATAAAAAGTGAATATTTAACATACAACACGCAAGCTAGTCTAACACACAACACGCAAGCTAGTCCTTCGAAAGGGTGGAGATACCTGGTAACAATAATCGAAAGCCCTCCAGAAAGATTGGGATGGGTTGAACCATCATTGAAATTTGGCGAAGAAACTGTAAAACTGGTTCGGTCTATTGGTGTAGGCAGAACTAGTGTTGTGTATGAAGGAATATACAAAGACATATCTGTAGCCGTGAAAATGATGAAAAGGGCAAATTATTTGTCCTGCGTTGAAAGAGAAAGAGCTGTATTGGAGGAACTTTCGGAGCTGGGTTCACCTCATATCCCAAAAATTCTTTTTTACGATGAGAATACTCTTGTCATGACTCCTCTTGGTGTGAAAGTTAATAATTTGCGAAAAACAGATATCAAGAATATAATAACCACTCTCAAACATGTACATTCATATGGATATGTGCATAGGGACCTTCGGAAATATAACTTTCTTCGTAATTTAGATGATTCAAAGGAATCAATTTTAATTATTGACTGGGGTTTTAGCACAAAGAATCACGAAGACATCGCATTTGCAGGAGCACTTGAATGCATGCCGGATGAAGTTCTGGAATCACTAACTAATGAGGAAAATATTGTTTATGGACCAAAAGTTGACTTGACATGTTTTGTGCGATCATTCTATCTGATGCTACACAGACCATCAATGGAAAGAGTTACCTTTGACAAAGATGATGACATCAGGAAACAGGCACAGATTATGTTAAATTTTTGGAAAGATTGTAGTAAGTCAGACGTGTGGGATAACATTTATCAAGCAGTAGAGGGCTTGGATTACGACAAATTAATTCAAGAACTCGAAAGATTTTTTTGAGTTGTTAGTTTCGGATGACTTAATCACGTAACCTAAATAATCTTGTAACCAAAATATATTAAAGCTTTGTGAAGACAGCTGAATAAAACTTTCGACTCTAAAATCTACTGCGCCCTCACGTCACGCGTGTCGTGGAAAATCAACTTATACATACTATATAACATAATGTTCGATGTGTTCTGTTTATTGTCGTATATTTCATTATCAATTATTAAATGAAGTTGTTAATTACATGCGTACCGGATCAATTTACATCCAATCATACATTAACACATAAATGCATACCTGATTAACGTGTTGTACTGCTTATCCATCTCTACTACCCACGCTTCATTTTGTTTTCTGTTCTGTGAAAGGAACGCTTTTTGGTTTGAGCCTACCTCGCAATTTTTGCTCAAATCCAGATAATTATGTTATATATACGGATAATTACTGTATATAGGATAACTATACAAGAATAACCCTACAATCTTTTTTCGAATATATGAGAAAAAAGGGACATTGGCTCTAGGGATTCTATTATTTCTAACGGCTCGTCAGATAACGTCACTTTCATTTTTTTGCCCATTAGATAATATATATATTTCGAACCTTTCTCTATTTGAACTGCCATAATCTCAGAATTATGTCTTCCGTCAACAAACGAAAAGAAGCTGTCACAATGGAGACGCCAGCAATAAAGAAACTAGTGCACATAAAAATAAAAGGCAGAGACATGAACAAATTCAAACGTACCACAAACCTGATAATATAGTTATTTTGGGCTTATTTTGTATGATAAAACAAGTTGCCTAAGATTTTATATGGTTATGGAACAGAATGAAGCTATTGATTGTCCTGTGTTCTGGCGAAGATATTTTGTTTGTTCTGCAAAAATAATAGGCTGAAAGAGTTATATAGTTGCTAAGCAAGTTGCTTAGAGACAATCCTTTAACTCACGAAAAACTATTATATTATAATAAAGCAACAAATCCAGAATGCAACTTGTGATCTTTATACTCAGGACAAGGTTAAATATATTGAAAATAAATAGATAAGTATCTCTTTCTGTCTCTCAGATCATAAATCATCTAAAGAAACAAAAACCCAGCAGGACATATCAACAAAAGACTTTTCATAAAAACATTAATCCGGAAAGCATATTTCATCACAAGCTTTTTCTAAAACTCATTCAGAGCATATTTATTAATTTTTGTCAAAATGTTGAAATTGTATGTAGACTGAATATCTTGTTACTTGGTGCATAGGTTCTTCAGGTAATAATCAATATTATTTCCTTCTCAGTTATTTCTGTGCATAATCTTATTAATCAGGGAATCATTATCATAGGTGTCAATAGTATATCACACCATATTAAAGTATTCTATTCTATAGATTATCTTTTTGGAATCTTTTTTCACTTCAATCTGATTTTCACTATATGGTTCTGCAAGTATTTTTTTAATATCATACCTCTGTGTCTTTATTAATATCTTTTTTATTTGTTTATATTGATTTTTCATTTCTTCATCAGTTTTGACCTTTCTAACTTCTAAAGTTATTGATTAATCTTTAAGCAGTATTGACAATACTTTCTGTTGTGTAAATGGTTTAGCAAGGCCTAAATTGTCAAAATAGAACTTAGTATCAGATTTCTCATATTATTTTTTAATAATATATTTACTATTTTTATCTATTTGTCCTTTTTGACTCTTATTACACATTGTTAACAATTCTTTTATTACAAGGTATTTTGTCTTTTTATGATTACTTCTTTTGTTTATTCATATTATTCTACTTCACTATTTCTTTTTTTCTCAATTTCATTGATTTCATTATTTCTTTTGATTGCCATCAATGTTTTTTTCATTTGAAATAAACATGTAACAGATTCTGAAATCTTTGGTTATAATTTATTATTAGAATTAAAACTACTATTTGTCTTCTGTAATATATTCCTTTTATCATTATCAAAAAATATTAATTATTTTCTTTTATTTTTATATATTGCTCTTTTCTTACATAGATCTTTGATCTGTAAAATATTTTTGTTATTCTCATTATAAAATCTTTTATTGATTTTGTTATTAAGTATCTTTATAATATTATTATTTGATATCAAGATTTTCTTTTATTTCTTTAACATAATTGTCTTTTCTTTGGTATCACTACTGTAGAATAGTGCTTTTTTCTTATATAAGCTAAGTTCTTTTTTTTTATCATCTTTTAAGTAAGAATCCTAATGATTCTCTTTAATTCTATATTTGATTCTTAAGTTTATATTAAATTTAATAGGTAAATATACCTCACTATCATTTTTAATAGTGTTCTGAACCTATGGTTCTGAAAATTGGAATCAAACAGAATTGCAAGGAATCACATGAGGTTCAAAACACTATTAAAAATGATAGTGAAGTATATACCACTTATTAAATTTAATATAAACTTGAGATTTGAATACAGAATCGAAAAGAATCATTAGGATCCTTATCTGAACCTTATTTGATTTCTTGCTATTCTGTTTGATTCTATTTTTTGGAACTAAACTTTTAAAATAATAAATTGAACTATATTTGCTAATACATGATGTTTTCTTTTTTAAAACAACTTCTTGAAAAGTAACCTTTCTTTCTGCACATACAACAACTTTTTTTCCTGTTCCATTTAAAGTTTTTGTCTTAGTTATATTATTCTGCTTTTAAAATACTAGTTTAATATAACTTTCTTTTATTTCTCATACCTGCTTAAGTAGTTTTTAAATATTATTCTTTATTTTTCTTATTCTGGTTATCTCTTTATCTATCACATTCCAAATTATTTTTAACATTTTTTGTTTTATCAATAATTTTTTCAGTAAAATTATGTTTAATTGATATTATTTTTTTCTTTAATCTATTTATAAACATTTTTATTATACAAATTCTTGTATAATTATCATTAAAATTAATTCTCTTTAATAGTTGTTTAAATAAATATATATATATTATTACTTTTTTATTATTTTCTTATTTTAAACTAAGTATTAAAAAAGTTTAATATAAAGTTTCTTTAACAGTGATACTAATTATTTCAGCATATTGATTGTATCTTATATTTCTTGTACTAATATGATATTATTTCTTCTAAATAGCTTATTACTATTTTCAATCTATTTTTGTTTATTCAACGGTTTACTTTAATTATCTTTTCATAATATTATATAAGTTCCTGAACTCTTTACTTATATTTCAATCCATTGGATTTTCTTCTTTATTCTTTTCTTACTTTTGTTTTTGATTCTTAATATCATATATTTAATTGAATAAGTATATTTATTAGGTTTTATAAAAAATTCTTTTATTTATTTGTTTAGAATATTTTTAATTTGATTGAATTTTATTATCTTCATAGAAAATATCATTTATTTTTCTGTTTTAAATTAGTAATTAACTAAAAATCACAAAAGTCTCATAAGTTTTATTTCAATTTCTAAAAAAGACAAGGTCTTATTTTCTTTCTGTTTTGTAAAGCTATAAGATTGTCTTTTCTAGAATTCAATTTTGATTAACTCATATTTTTTTTTCAAAATTACTATGATTTTTATTTATATAGTTTATTAAGGACAAATATTCTAATCTTATAGTAACTATCAAATATTATTATTAGTAAGTCTGTCACTAAAACAGTTCACTCTTTGCATAACTATAATCCAAATACTTAGATTTTGATACTAAATAAGTTAAAGCTTTTAACTCTAATATAGTTATAATCTGATTAACTTTTGCATACTTACTAATCTATTTTTAACTGTTTTTCTTTAGGCACATCTCAAGATTACAAGTGTTACTTTCTTTACAATATAAAAGATAATGTTACATTTTCCTTTTTAAAGATATTTACTTTATTATAATAATGTAAACTTATTGTATACTTTATAGAATATATTGTATAAAGTAAAATAACATTTATTTAAGAAACTATAAATATATATATATAAGTATCAAAAAATGCATAATTTTTTTTTGCATAAAAACAAAAAGTATTTTCAATAAACTTATATTTTAATATTATATAAACTATTCTATTTATATGTCTTCTTGATATACAGTATGGGACACTTGCTTTTGAAAAAAAAAATTTTATTATTTTTATCTATAAGTAAACAAATTATTAATTAATTATTATAAACTTTATATATAATATATATTTTTATAAATATAATAAAGAAGTTTACTTAAGAATTTTTTTAATTTTGATATTATAATTTTAAAAAAATTGATTTTAAAAAGATTATAAAAACTAAATAATAAAAATAATTTAAAATAAACTTAATATATAAAATCACT